GACATCCGTCCAAAGAAGAGCGCTAATAATATCGAGGAAAATAGTACACAATCTTGCACTATAGTCGACATTTTGCACAATCAGATTTGTTATTTACAATTGGCTCAGTGATTTTTGCTTAAATTTTTATAAACACTATATCTGTTTGGGACATCGAATCTTGCTCGGGCTACTCTCGGAGTTCCACTGACGTGGCCGATATGTTGAAGACGAGAAGTGAAACGTCTAAACAAAATTCAAGTCTGAATTTAGACATGACTTTCGACATATTGCTATTCCTGTCTGCTATCACAGAGGTTTACGGAGCAGGTGTTGAGCTCCATTAATATACGATAGAGCCTTGCCTGGTTCGTCGAATGGTTGGCGTGCAATTTCTCTGCAGAAAAAGTGATGAAAACGTCTTTAATTTATTCTATTGCGGAGAAATTTTTTATAGGGCTCAAAAGTTTTTTTTTAACCATAAAGATATTGATGAAAATACTGATGAAGATACTGATGAAAACTGTGCTAAATCAAAGCTTAATTAAAAAAAAGTCTTATATAGATATACCCCCTTCCCATGTGCTCTCGCGGATGGGTGCTTAAACGCGTTGCATTCTGCTGCAAAAAAAGAAAAAAACAAGAAAAAAACGGGTACACAATTTTTTTAGTAACTTTTGTTAACTTACTTTGAATTAAAACTTTCATGATGACTTTCAGTACCTTACGCACTATTGTGTCATCAAGCAAATATTCTTTATTTGAAGCTTGAACAGTATATTTGTGTATATTATACATATTCCGTTGCACCTTGATGTTTGGCTTGGTGGTTGCAGAGTTCTTTTAATGGTCATTTCAACACGATCTTTATGACCAGTAACTTGCCATCTGATCTGCACGAATGGACTTGATTTCATTCTATACATTTCTGTTGTAGCGTGCGGATTGAGTTATCGCGACTGAGTCATCGCGGAAGCGCCGCCCGGCTCGTGACGCCATGTCTGTGATAAAAACGCTGCGCTCAGGAATAAAGCACTTCTTGTTCGCCAGCATGCCATGGTCTACAGTCACTTCAATTTCATATTTTACAAGAATCGCAGTCTACATGTGTTGGGCCCCAGCCCTGCACGCACATGTTCGTTGCTTTGGAAGGCGAGCAATGCACGCGCCGCACGCACGAACACTGAAAATGGCATCGACCAGAAGCGCTTTTTAGAAATGGTCTATAAATGTTTTGCTAAATTGCTTAAGAACCAAGGAGCATATTCATGCCACAGGAGTAGTTACACGTGCTGGCGCCTGTAACAGTAACTTTTCTAAATAAAATCTAATACACCAACTCATGTTTGGATGGATGGATGAATACGGCTGAGCCCTTTGGATCGGGCGGTAGCTTACGCCACCTAGCCATTTTGTTTTACCATTTAAGCTGAGAATATTTAAATGTGAAATCTATATTCACTCCGCAGTGCAAAGAAAGTGAGGCTATGAAACCCCCTTGCCATCAGTGATTAAGAAAATACCTAGTTTTCTCTCGATTTCTGCCACCATTCACTTAATCTTTGCTTGGTAATCTCTACAGTCTTGAAATCCACTCTCCCTTCGCTGTCTCTAAAACCCAATGACTTTATTAAATCTATGTTGTCTTCGGTAGGCATAGGGTGAAGCCCTTTACAGTAGAGTATCAAGTGCTCAGCCGTCTCGTCCTCCTCTCCACAAGCAGTGCACACTGTATCAATTTCCTGGTACTTCACTCTGTATGTTCTGGTTCGCAGAACACCCGTTCTTGCCTCAAACAGCAATGAGCTTCCCCTAGAATTGTCATAAATGCTTTCTTTGGCAATAACTCTTTTGTTTAATCTATAGCTTTCCAGAGCAGTCTTTGTCTGCATTCCCTCTAGCCACCGATCTCTTTCTGTGGCCTTAACTTTCTTCTTAACTGAGACTTGCTCTTCCGTATCTTCGCTATAGCCCAAAAACCTTCCTCTTAATTTCCTAGTGCGCTGTCTCCACTTTGTGTCTACACTCCTCATGTATAAATAGCTGAAAACCTTTCGTGCCCATTGCTCCCCATCCATTAGCCTCAACCTATCCTCAAATTCTACCTTGCTCACCGCTTCCCTGCTCTCAAATGATGCCCATCCCATGTCTCCTTGTACTCCCTGGTTTGGCGTTTTGCAATGCGCCCCCAAAGCCAGTCTACCTACTCCGCGCTGTTTTATTTCTAGTTTCGCATGCACTTCGGATTTCATGCATAGCACTGCGTTTCCAAAAGTCAAGCCAGGCACCATGACCCCTTTCCAAATCTCTCTCACCACCTCATACCTGTTGTAATTCCAAAGTGCTCTATTTTTCATTACAGCTGCATTTCTGTTGCCCTTACCTATTATATACTTTTCATGGTCTCTGAGATATTCTGCACCATCACATATCCATACTCCTAGATACTTGTATTTACTAGCTCTCTCAACTGTAATATTCTGTATCTTCAGCCTCTCAACTTCATCCTCGTTAAAAATCATGACTGCCGATTTTTCGCTACTGAATTCTAAACCTAATTCCTCTCCTTCCCTACCACAGATGCTCATTAATTCCTGCAACTCTGTCCTGTTGTTAGCCATTAGTACAATATCGTCCGCATACATCAATCCCGGTAAGGATTGCTGAATTTTTTGGCCTAGCTTACTGTAAGAAAGGTTGAACCCAAGCCCACTCTTCTCTAGTCTATCCTCCAATCCTCTCAGATACAACATAAACAGCAAAGGCGATAACGGGCACCCCTGCCTAAGGCCTCGTCTTATCTCTATTTTCCCTGTCGCCTTTCCTTCCCATGTTATAATCACCTTGTTATCTTTGTAAATGTTCCTTAATAGTGCTGTTAGTCCTTCATCTAGGTTTAAGTTCTCCATTATGTCCCACAGGTTTCTTTGGTTCACATTGTCATAGGCACCCTTGATATCCAGAAATGCCAGCCAGAGCTGTCTGTTTTCTTTTTGCGCTATTTCTATACACTGTGTTAGAGAAAATAAGTTGTCCTCCAACCTTCTTTGTTTTCGAAACCCGTTCTGTAACTCGCCCAGTATGCCCTCGCAATCTACCCATTCCTCCAGTCTGTTCTTTATAATCTGCATTACCAACCTGTAAATAACCGGTGTCACGGTTATAGGACGATAATTCCTAATATCAGACTTATCTCCCTTTCCCTTATATATCATACTCATCCTACTAAGCCTCCATTCATCTGGAATATTTCCTTTTGTTATCATGGTACTCACTACTTCCCTTAGTTTTGCCTTAGATTTAGGACCCAAATTCTTCACCAGCTTGATAGGGATACCATCTGTGCCTGTTTACAAACAAACTCGCGCGCCCCTAGCGGCACAAGCGGCGGCCGCGCATGCGCGATAGGGTGTGGGCAGAAAACCACGGCATCCTATGCAAGCAACGCATTGGGGCGTTGTTGACATCGTCTACTTTCGCTGTTTTCACCGTTTTTACTCGTTGTCGATGACTGTGCGTCCCCGGAGAGATGTCTGACTATGTAAGTGGCCTAAGTGAGGCAGAAAAAGTGCGATACAAAGCGAAGCTTTGCGTAAATAGTGTTATGCATGGCGACCCGTACGGCGTGGACGCCGCAGAATGGACCCTAGCGAGTCGACGGTGGCCACCCGTCACTATGGTGAACATCACCTTGTATTTATTATTTACGCCGAGCCAATTTACCCCGGAAACCCTGGAGGCCTACAAGTCCTTGGAGGCTTACAATTACTTCGTTTCAGGTAAGCACAGCGGCAGTGAAGAGTGCCTGCCCAATCCAGCTGTTGCAAGTCGAGCGCGGCGGTTTCAAGTCAGAGGCTCAGACTGATACGATAAATTCGTTACTTCCGTGCTACGTAGCGAGATTTGTAAGATTTACGTCAAAAAACAACGAATCTAGCGAAACGTACGGTATTGCACGTCTGCGGCTACCATTTTCCCGTCACCCGGGCCGCGTTTCGCGCTCGCTGTAACCACAGCCGCCAAGAATTCCGTCTGTGGTATTCATTGTTTTCTTTTCTCACTTAATATATTTTAGGTTTGAAACCGCACTTGCAGTATTGCTGCGTGCTTTACGCGCACAGGCGCTGTCCTTGATCTTGACTTGCATTTCTTCTCTGTGTATCTGCGTTTCTCAGCCTTCTGCATCGGGAACGTTCCGCATTTAGGGCCAATTTGTACGGTTAAGTGCTCCTAGCGATTCGGAACAAATTCGGTAGTTCATGCAGTCTCTCATTCTCAGAGATATTGCTTTATTGATCACCCATTGCGCTCCTGGTACACTGTACAGATCGTGATCGTCAGTCTGCCCAGTATTTCTTGTACAGCTGAAAGGCTGTTATCAATATTTTTCAAGCTGCCGCAGTGTCCTCACGTGACGGATCCACTGAGATGTACCCTGTGCAAGTAAAGTTTAAAAAAGAGGACCAATGTTATATGCGCTTCATGAAACACACATACCCTGCACATGTGCATACTATGCAGGCACAGCATGCTTGCAAACACTTGCCAGTGCAGGGCTGGTCTCGATATTTTCTGAAACATAGGCTGTCATAGCCAGTGTGGTCATTGCAGAATAACGGCTGATCTCAAAACAAATGATACACTTTGTAAGGATTTAGTTAAAACGCATGTATTGGCTTTGCACTGTTGTCCAGGCCATGTGCAGGACATCAGACTCTGGCAGCCTGACGGACACGACACATGCTTCATTCGAGCAAATGTGAGACCGTCACAGAGGGCAACTGGCCCGCCTCATGATGCTTGGGTGTGCCTCGACAACTCCTCAGGACGGGTACATTCTGGCCATTGCACATGTAAAGCTGGGTAAGTCCCTCCTTAACCTCATCTGTAACAGCATTGACCCCAAGCAATAGATATGAATAAACAATATTTTTTTCCTTCCAGTCTGGGTGAGGTGTGCAGCCACATTGCAGCGGTCTTGTTTGGTATTGAGTACAGTTCAAGATTGTGTCAAGAGGCCTCATCATGCACCTCCCAACCTTGTGCATGGACCAGGAGTGCGACAAAGAAAGTATGCTTTATCCCCGATATATTTGACATCTAACTACTATCATACAATATTTTCACAACTCGTGGGAATGATTTTCATTCTTTTTTTTCTTCTTTTCTTGCCATGTGCAGGGTGCTGAAATGTACTATGATTTGCATAGTCCCGTCAAAATAATTGAATCAACACATTTTTTTTATTAGTACGCTATTATCGGTTGGCTGTCATGACAACAAACATCCCCCCTCTAATGTGCAAGCTTAGGAGATCACAGTCAGTATGCACTAGCAGTACGCCGTATGTGCACCTGACCCGTATCGACACATTTCGTGGATAGTGGTCGGATACCTGCATATTTAGTCTCGCACAGCCACATCCTTTGTTCTTTCAATTAAATTCTTAATCATGAGTGGATATCCAAGCATAAAGTATGCCTATTCAGAGCTCTACTCAGGGGCAGTGTTGTATGCAACGGCGTTCCTGGAACGCGTTCCTTTTAGGAGGAACGAAGGAACGTTGCCGTTTCATTTTCTTCGGCGGAACGGGAAGTCGTTACCTTTTTACTAAAATAAAAAAAGAACGGCATTTTTTTTTCGTCGTCCAGTGGGCTAATTTGTATTTTATTTCTAAGAGGGAAATTCTAAAAATATAAAAACAATACCTTTTTGAAGAGCAGGATCTCGTTAAAAGTTTTGGTTGCTTATCTCAACGTTTATTTTTCGGAGTCCTCGCTTAATAACGGTCGGGTGCAGGAGAGCTAGTGGACATTGCTTATTTTTTCAGTGCCCGAGATTGCGGTTCATAAAGCAAAATTTGTCGTCGAAGGAGAAGACCCAGAAAGAGGGACGTTTCAAACTTAGCTACTTCGTTTGCAAACACGAATCCTCATACACCCAGAACTCTAAGGCCGACTACAGCCATTACTGAACTTCCACAGACCTACAGTTACAACAAAAGAACAGGTTACCTGACATCGAACCCACTCTTGTAACCCAAGTATTGGTCACTTAAATGATACAAAAAAAAAACAACTTCATTTCTTCTCTCCTTGTTCCAAACCTTGAAACTGAACAACGAATCCAAATTTCACGAAGAAACCTTGTAGTTTTCAAGACTGACCTTCAAAAGCCCTACCCTCTTCTTCACTTGCTTGTCTTGTGGACACCAACATCAAGAAGCAACTGTTAAATTCGAACAAGGGACTTTGTGAGATTGAAATGTGGGACATTGTTGTAATACGCTCGTGCAATCTGGGGTAACAGTACATTTGGCTCGTCTGATCGACCACCACAAAAGATGGTAAAAAGCCGAGATTTTTAATGTTGAATAAATCAGCAAATGAAACCCTGCTTTCGCGTGTCTTCTCCTGGTGCCCTTCTTTCACTGCATTCAAATTCGTATTTTGCCATTTGATGGGATAGATTAAAAAAAATTTACTTGATCTAACTCAATATGGTAATCAGCAAAATACAAATGTAACGTATATTTAATGATGCGTTTCATTTTTTTAACTGTAACGGGAGCGAGCTCCTTTTTCACATAAGAAACTTGTAACGGGAACACGTTCCAAAAATTAGAAGGTACAAACTTTCATTCCTTTTTTTTCTGGAGCATGTACAACACTGCTCAGGGGTTGTACTGCTCTATCTGAAAAAAAAAATGTTTGTGACTGCACTAGAAATTCAGAGGCAGCCAGATGCAAGAAATTACTTTGGAATCTCAGCACTGTTTTGTCAGACCAAACCTCTTTTTCACTTGTGGGGCTTTTTAAAGCAAGTGCGGTGCAAATGTGACTGTCTCCACTGCAGGAAGACATGGTCCCCGTGCACAAGCTGGACTTAAGTAAGCCCGGGATGCCAAGCAGGCGTCTTCCTGATGAGCCCAACCATGTAACCCATGACTACAACCCCGACGACAGGGCTCTCTTCCAGGAGATCCTGAGACTGAACCCAAAAGCGGTCGTCCTCAGGTCTATACCTAAGATGAACGACGAGGACACAGATTCGGCATCTGAAGACGAGCAGTCTTACACATTCTTAAGGCAAGTTAAATGCTTGTTCCCGTTATTAAATATCTCATCAACAGAACTAGCTTACAATAGCTATGTTTCCTGAGGCATAAGACAACATGGACTATGATGAGCAATTTTACAATTTATAACACACTTGGGTTTTTTTGACATCTGTATCCTATTGGGCCGAGCAGTCGCGTCTTCGGCAAGTGTGCTTTCTCTTGTGCTAGCTTCAACATTTACATAACAATCAACGATACTTCATAAGTGCGAGAGTTATCCAACAAAATTTGACTGTGGCAGTGCTTGTTGCCTCATTGTGAAAGACATTACCCATCAGGGGCAGAAGTTGACGTTCCACATATTCATATATGAGGGACACACCCATTTTCCAGTTCTTTTTGTAATGTTTCTAAATCAATTTTCTGAAGGAAAGTGAGACGGACGGGGGCAACGAGAGCTTCACTGCCATTCGACATGTTTGTGCCCATCAACGAAATCGAGCGGATCGAGAAGAGCACGCGACGCCAGGCAGTAACCATATTCTGGCGGCAAGTTCGGTATGGAAGAATAACTGCCTCGGTACTGAACAAGGTATGTGAATTGTTGACATTTTCTCGCCTCTTGCAGGGAGGTTTTAGTATGCAGTCTTCTTTTTCTTTCAACAGGTGCAGACGATGAGGGATAGTACGTCGCCGAAGGCCACCCTGGACCTGATTTTGCAGAGGAGCCCTCCCGTCGACACTGAGGCCACCCGCTGGGGGATCGAGAAAGAGCCAGTGGCGAAGAAAGCATACCAGGAGTACATGTGCACAAAGCACAACGACTTTCGGCTCTGCGACGTTGGATTTGTGGTCAATGTCAAGGTTGTACCTACAACATTTATCGCAATTTTGAATATGCAAAAGCAGATATTTTTGACGCAAATCTTTTGATTTATATTGCAATGGCAACAACTGTAACACTGCTGCAACAAGTCCTATGGTGTTGGTGGTTTACTTGACCGACCTGGTATAATGCAACAATTCGCATGTCTTGCATTCTGGAGGATCTATGCGCCGGGAACGATTGTAAACTCACTTTTAGTGCCTTAAGCAGCCTGTGCCTTAGCGTGACTTGCCATTGTCAACATGGCTATTTCTGCACTCCACACCTTGGGTTCCTGTGGCTGCAGTTTCTGCTTCCTAGCACTTATTTTAAACACGGTAACATACAAAGCAAACAACAGTTTTCGAAACTACACTCTTCCATATCCCCAGAAAAGTGCATTACCATAACTATCCATTTTATTATCAAGTCAGTTATTGTACATAATATACTGCTAATAAGAGTAAGAAGCACCTAATGCTTTATTGCAATTTCAACCCACTACATACGTCGCTCTTCAGTGGAGGTGCAGATATCGCTGAATCATGCATTAAAGGGATGCTGAACCGAAATCTGGCTTCCCCAAAACACGCGGCAAAAGCGTGCAACGGGATGCTACAAACACCAAACATCACTCATACAGCGATATCTCGAACGGATGACCGTATCCCTCAAAGGAGGCGCATTTGCCAGGAATGTTGACGTCATGTTTCTCCGAGAAGGACAGGGAACGGCCTCGCGTCTTCTCCGCCTCGCCGCCTTGCTGGAGCGAAGCAAAGGGAGGAGGAAACAAGGTATCTTGACGTCACGCGCCTCGTCGGCCTGATTCAATCTCGACCTCTTTTTCCAAAAATACGGTTGTCCATTTGAGATATCGCCTTACGAGTATTGTTGTAGGGATTGTAGTGTCCCGCCTACATCCCTTGCATTGTTTTCTCGAAATCCAAATTTCGGTTCACCATCCCTTTAAAGCTCGCATAGAGAACTTATCTCATGCTTCATATGTAAAAAAATGTCTGGGCATGCTGTTATTATCACCCTTCTTTTTTTCTTTTTACTGGATGTGTTCAGGATAACTTCCTTGGGGCCTCTCCAGATGGGATCTGGACCTGCAGCTGTCACGGTGTGGGCACACTGGAGGTCAAGTGCCCATGGTCATTGCGGCATAAGACGTCCAGTGCCACACAGCACGAGTGCTTTAGAGATGACTTGCAACTAAAGGAGTCACACAAACATTATACACAGGTGCAGACACAACTTCACGTCTGCCGAAAGGAAGTGGCGCACTTCCTTGTATGGACGCCAAACGATTGGGTTTTAACGGTTGCGCCTGTTGACGGATGCTTCTTTGCTCCTGTACTGGAGAAAGCACGAGCATTCTGGGCTGACCATGTCGTACCAGAGCTACTGTGAGTTTGTGGTGCCCACCAATAAAAATGGAAGAACGGTTCAGAGGGTAGATGACAGTGTAGTACCGGGGCCTAGCGAAAATAGTCTTTGCTTTGCCACTGTCATCACCTTTGTTAAGGGTTAATGAACCATAATTTGTATTCACAAAACCAGGCAGCAAAAGCGTCGAATAGTATGTTACAAACCCCTAAGCACCACTCGAAGCAATATCTCGAATGGACAGCCATTTTTGAAAAGAAAGGGTGCGGTGTAGCAACTCGCAACGTCACATTTTCTCCAACTCTCGTAAAAGATACGAGACAGCACGCGCCTTGCTCTATTCTACCATTTTTGTTAAAAAATGTGGCCATCCGTCCAAGTTATTGCCGTATGGGTAATGTCTTGGGGGTTTGTAGCGTCCCGTCTGATGCTTTCGCTGCCTTGCTTGGCGAATTCCGGTCCATCATCCCTTTAGGTTTTGTCGATTGTCCTGGTTCCTGTGCATAAGTTTCACCATCGATTGCTATTTCCTTATCTTTCTTTGAATCCTGCTAACATATCCAATACTGTGTACCATCTTCAAGCTGTCTATTTGCTGTGCATGTAATTAATGGTATGCATATTTAAGGTGCCTACCCGGTGTCCATGATAGTGACTAGCATAGACCATGACTCAAGACAGCACTGAAAATTTTCAAGCAGTGTTGCCTTGGTGGCATTTTAAATTTCAGCCACAATGGTTACAATAAATCGGTGGTCTAGTAATGAGACGGGCTCCGACGAAAAGAGAAACAAACTTTATTATGATCTTTAGCTTCCTACGATATGACAAAAAAAATGTATCCCCATTTAGGTGAAAAAGACAAAAAATAATTAGGGACGTCGGAGAGTACACAAAAGGATGTCATTTCTAAACAGGCAGAAAAAGATTTTTAAGTATATTTCCATAGCAAATACAGAAAGTAGTCAAAATAAACTGAAATGGCAGTCATGCATGTGCAACTCACTAGGTGAAAGGATGTGCAGCCTGGTATTTCTACAACACTGTTCCTAGAGATTCTCCAACATCTAGAGCTTCCTTGATTGTCTCTGCTGTCAAAAGAAGCATTTCCCCCACTTAGGCTCTGTTTTGGCAGAGTTTAACATGTCTAAGCTTTTGCACAGCCTTATCACCACAATCTTAAGATGGAGGGGCACCTTGGCTATCAGTTTGGAGAATATAATGGTACTGCACCTCGTTATGTAGATCACAATTTGCTTTTCGGTTCAATATGTCAGGAAGGGGGGGGGGGGAGGAGAGAAAAATTGTTTTTAAGAATTATCTAGATTTTCAAATGCAATCTAACTTGTGAAGCAAAATATTGGACTGGTTCAGTGCCCACCGATCTCGACGAACATTGTGCCAGCATGTGTTCGTGTAATCACTGCTTGCACGGTGCACTTTAAAGGAACACTACAATGAAATATCGGCACTTATTAACGCGCAAGCATTATCTGTCTCATGGAGCGAGCTGACGTCATCAGCTTTGAAACCATGCATCGAGCAGACGACAAAGGGAGCGGACAAGCGGCTTGCATGCTTTCGCATTCACAACTCGTAAGAAATGCTTAGGTGTACCTCAAGCTTTTTTTTTTTTTTGGTTTATACGTGTTCAAAGGAGCAGTATCGCATCGGACACACCAATATCTTGTAAAAGAAGACACAAAAAAGAATTTTCAAACTGATTAAACGATTAGCAAAGAGCACCTGGTTGATGTTGCTAAAGCCTCGTTTGTAAGGCCCATCTAGGAACCTCTAGAAGATTAACCCGTCACTCAAAATTCACACAAAAGCAGCTGCGTGGTTAGTCGCGGTGGGCCGATTGCTGGTGTGCTTCAACCGCTTTGGTGGCTAGAACGGCTAGGGCATTCTGACCACGTCGGCCTCACTGCAGCTTTGCTCATCGCAAGAAAACTACTTAACGATTGCGCCGGATGTGACGTACGTGCTTTCTGCTGGCTGCTCTCCGGGCGCTTGCCAGAGTGGACCATTTATAACGAAAAATACAGCCATCAAGTTCAAACTACAAACGTGCGATTGTCATTTACAGATATTGTGGATCATATTCAGCCTATTTCTGAACACGACGGGTATATTTAGAATTTCGTTGAAGTACCCCTTAAAGACCATGGCTTAGTAGTTGTACTGGACATTGGCCTAACTATGCATCTACAAAAGAAAACCAAGTGCCCACATTTTGATAGCTGCCTAACTTGACGCTGTCTAAGCATCCACACAGCCTAGTCTATTTTTTTTAACAAAATATGAATTCAATATTGACGGTGGAGGAACAAAGGAGTAGAAGGTAATGAAAGAGTTGTAGATAAATATTCATTTAACAAAGATACCCTGTTCATGTAATTGTTGGGGACAGAAGTATTTACAATGCATTTCATCTAAAGACAACAACGGACAATGCTGACAAAAAGAATGCTTTGGAAAGCTCGGTGTGACAGCCATCACTAAAAGATGCAGGTCCCTTGGTGGCAGCTGGCTTCGAAAAAGTCTGAGGAAAAAAATAAATGTCTTTGGCCAATGAGCTTTCCAGGTAGTTCCTTTGAAAAAGAAATGCACACAGGTTAGGCAGGTTTCCCTGCCTTAAAGGGCCCCTAAAAGAAAAATAGTTTTTTTTTCTTTTTAACAACATGGTTGGGACACGCATGTCAAAAAACTAATTCTATGTGAAAGAAAAAATTTTTAGAGCAATATTGATGCCGCGAGATGCGATTTAGTTGACAGTCGCCTCCTTTCCACTTGTTTTCCCTCGGCATTTTGGGTACAGGAAGGAGTGGTGGATCGGCTTCACCTTCGCGACCGAGATGGTCATTCCGGAATGACACGCGACGTCGTCTTCGCACAGAATTTCAAATAAATCTCTTGCCGCCAGTATTGATCTTAAAAAAAAAAGTTTCACATAAAATTGATTTTTTTTACATGAGTGTCGCAACCAGACTGTTCAAAACAAAATTTTTTTTTTCTTTTCAGGAGTTTTTTTAATTAGTGCACAGTACCTGCCTCACGAAAAGCCCTACATCAATTTTGGTTTCAGGTTTGTGATGCCAGAGCATATGAGTAAAATGTTTGTGGCATGGCGCATGTATGGGCAGCCTGTCCTGAAGAATTCTAAAAACCTTGATGCGACCAATGGCACGCTCTACATGAACCCTTATCTTTGACATCTTCCGCGCTGTCTCCACTTCCTCTGCAGGGAGCTGTTTTTTGCCCTTTGTGTACGCTGGCACAACCAGCCTAGCTCCGACCCTGCCAATGTCCTCGCGAATAAGGAACCCCCGGTCAGCGAGAACAGTGTCCCCATTCTCGAGCTTGTCCAGCAGCCCACTTCTCTGTGTAAGCCGCTTGTCCGACACTCTTCCTCCCCATGCCTTTGAGATGAAGCTTACTGCACCGCACGGTGTCACACCCACAAGAAACTTTATAGTGTTGCACGACTTGTAGCGCGAATATGTTTGCGAACGGGCAGTGAAGGCTAGTGGCCGCTGAATGCGGCATTCTGAGCAGTCTACGATCACACGACACCGTGGATAGTAGCGACGCACAAGGGTGGGCATTCTCCGTGCAATGTCTGGTTGTGTAGGCCAAATGATAAATTTAGAAAAAGTCTCGGCAAGTAGAGGAATGA